TGCGAGATATAAACTCAGAATTGCGAGATATAAACTCAGAATTGAGATTTAAACTCAGAATTGCGAGATATAAACTCAGAATTACGGGATATAAACTCAGAATTGTGAGATATAAACTCAGAATTGAGATTTAAACTCAGAAATTAGATATAAACTCAGAATTGGCAGAAATGGTTTCCATAATTTTGCAATAATGACCAGTTGACTTCACATTTCACTTCTTACTAAACAACTGAATAAATGATGGACATTAAATATTGATTTGAGTTTAAATTATTTGTAGATTATTTTTATATTATGTGAGAAGAAAGAAAACGAGAGACATGAAACTAGCACAGCTATGTATAAAATCACTGAAACAATAAATAATTATACGGTTTAGAGTCATTATACACAAATACGTGACCAGAGAATGATGCCATCGACCAATCACAATCAAGTATTCCAGAGAGATGAGTAACAAGCAGCCATTTTATTCCATTATAAATATGAAATCACTCACTGCAGCTACTCGCTGTTCCCAATCGTGTTTGTCATCGGACAGAGTTTCTCGGATCTTGTTCATGGAGTCCTCGAGCTCTCGAGCCGAGTAAATCTGTGAGAAACAACAGCGTCATCAAACTCACTGAACACTGGCATCTGTCCAGAGATCTCTGATGGAAAACCACTGAATGCAGAGTCCAGGCTGACACTCCACATTACAGATGTTATTGCTGCGGTATTGATGATTCCTTGAGTTACTGACACACAGATGCATTTGGATGTAGTTTGGGGTCAGTTATTGTGTATTGTATGTTACTGTTTGTTATATGTATTTGTTAATTTGGGCCGCCTATCTTGGCCAGGACACTCCTGCAAAAGATATTTTAATCTCCGTGAGTTTTCTTTCCTGGTTAAATAAAAAGTAAGGTTTTTAATGTTTTTGAAAGAAGTCTCTTCTGCTTACCAATGCTGCATTTATTTGATCAAAAATAAAGTAAAAATTGTGATTTAAAACAGCTGTTTTCTATGTGAATATCTGTTCAAATGTAATTTATTTCTGTGATCAAAGCTGTATTTTCAGCATCATTACTCCAGTCTTCAGTGTCCCATGATCTTCAGAAATCATTCTAATATGCTGATCTGCTGCTCAAGAAACATTTCTGATTATTATCAATGTTGAAAACAGTTGTGCTGCCAAATAGTTGTGCTGCCATATGCCAAATATATGGAAAGCGTGAAGCATTTTATTTTTCAGGACTCGCAGACAAATAGAAAGTTCAACAGAACCGCATTTATTTGAAATAGAAATCTGTTGCAACATTATAAATGTCTTTACTGTCACTTTTGATCAATTTAATGCATCCTTGATGAATACAAATATTAATTTATTTAAAAAAAAATCTTACTGACCCCTAACATTGTTGAACATATTAGCGTTACGAAGCCTACTAATGCTTACCTGTATGGCAGGCACATCTTCAAAGGCACGGATGAAGTCTTCTTCATCAACAGCACCGGCACCAGAGCTCTCCTTACCTGATAAGAACAATCAATATGTCCAGTAAGTTTTAAATATATATTTAATATTTAATCATTTTTAACATTATTAAATATTTATTTTAAACATATTTTATTCTATACAAAATAACAAAAAATATACAAATTTATGATATTTCTTTTATTGTATATACAATAAAAATAAAAAATACAACATTTAAAAAATTTTATAAAAATATTACAAGTTATATATACCATTTTATATATTTATATGTATATTTTTATATTTTAGATATACGTTTTATTTATTTATTTCTCTTTTAAGTGGGTTTTAATTGAGGCTGTAAAGATAGCTACAGCTAATATAGCTTTACACTGCAGCACGGCACTGAAATGTTTTATTACTTTTATACCAGAAGAACTGGAACACTGGATTGCCCAATCAGAAGACACAAGCAAAACCATCAGTTTCATAAAAATAGCATAATAGCAGTCAAACGTCTGAGATGCAGGTCGTTGACCTGAGCTCTTGGTGCTGGATGCGGAGCTCGGTCTGCGCAGGGATCCCGTCCGCCGCACCGATGACGAGGAACGACCGCCATCCACAGAATCCTCATCATCCATGTTCTTATCTGAGGAATGACAGAGAAAACACAATTTATACACTATTATAGTTGTTATAAATATTTTTACTTTTTATATTAGCATTTTAATGCAATTTTTTAAATCTTGTAACATGCTTTTGTCATTTTAGTAGTGTTTGTTTTTTAAGGTTTAAGGGTTTTAAAGGGTAATTTGTAGAAGTAATTGTATTAATTTAATTTTTATTTTATTTTTAGGGTTTTTATCATTTTTATTAGGTTTATATATGCTTTTTTCCACATGCACATATGTGACCCAGGACCACAAAACCAGTCGTAAGTCAATTTTTAAGTAATCTTTCCATTGATGTATGGTTTGTTAGGATCGGACAATATTTGGCCGAGATGCAACTATTTGAAAATCTGGAATCTGAGGGTGCAAAAAAATCTAAATATTGAGAAAATCTCCTTTAAAGTTGTCCAAATGAAGTTCAGAGCAATGCATATTACTGATCAAAAATGAAGTTTTGATATATTTACGGTAGGACATTTACAAAATATCTTCATGGAACATGATCTTTACTTAATATCCTAATGATTTTTGGTATAAAAAGAAAGTGTGTGTGTGTGAGCGTTTAAGAGCGCAGAAAGAGTCAGAACAGTCCTGTATTACACTGACAGACATGTTTCTCTGTGTGTGTGTGTGTGTGTGTGTGTGTGTGTGTGTTTTAA